AACAAAAAAAGTTCAGCTCCACTGGCCTATAGGGAGCTGTAAGACTGGATGTAATGCTTGGTTTGCTAGTTTAGTTTACAAGTACACAGATGCTAAATAAAGAGACCCTGGGGAATTGAAATCATCCACATGTTAAACATACTGTATAAATGACCTTCTTTCACATCCTCATCACATAATCTAAACATTTTCTCTAGGAAATCAAGAGCCGTTTAGATCTGCACAGATTTATGGATGGACGTCGCAGTGAACTTGCAAGTGAAGGTCTACAGAAACCTGTTACAAATGCTCTGTATTACATTACAACAGTAATTTGTAAAATATGTCTGCGTTCGGATCTTGCTTTCAGGTGTTTATGGATAATCCTGCTGATGTCTATGGCATTTGTGATGGACGGATGATGGTGTCCTCTACTACTTGTATATGATATATACTGTATATGATATTTGATGACTAAAAACAGTGTATATTAGTAATATTAGTTGCGTGTCAAAACAGTTTCAGCATGATGTGATATACAGACATATATAAATGTGAAACTAGTTAGTAACTGTAGCTTAAACTCTAAACACAAATGTTAAGAATGTTTTAATACAAAATCATCTCAACTTTGTTGTTGTCTTATAAAGTGATTGTGTTCAACTGAAGTGTAATAAAGCATTAAATACTGCACATTTCAGTTTCACAAGTGTCATTCAGAACATTTTTTGATCAGCAACAAAATTAAGTGCATTGTAAATGTCACAGCAAAGGGGAAATTGTACATTTGTAAATGTTAATGTGCCCACTTCAGCAAAGGATGATTCTGGGGAAAAAACACTGTGTTCTCTTCCCCTAGACGGAATAAATCCTCCACGCACTGATCTGATGTCTCTGAACAGTAATTGCATTCATTAGAACAGGCTGACCGGCACTAATCACAGCTAATCCATCTGTGGGTTAAAGTTTGGCCTCTAATAAATAATTAGTATAGACTTTACATTTAACTGAATCTGAATTTAAAGGGATAGTTCACCCAAAAATGAAAATTCCATCATCATTTACTCACCCTCAAATTGTTCCAAACCTCTATGATTTTCTTTCTTCTGTTCAACACAGAAGATATTTTGAAGAATGTGGGTAACCAAACAGTTGCTAGTCCCCACTGACTTCCATAGTATAGAAAAAAAAAATTCTATGGAAGTTAATGGCTACCAGCAACTGTTTTGTTACCAGCATTCTTCAAAATATCCTCCCCAACCCCCAATAAAATAAATCAAGTCAAGTAACTTTTATTTATTCATATCTTTTAAATCTATTTTGTGAAGTTTTCCAGTAAGTATCCGGGTTTAAGAATATCAGATTTGAAATGCAATATGTATTTAATGTTTATTTAATGTGATTGCACACGTTTAGTTTTAACACGCTGTATGGTTGTATTTCATATTAACAGTTTCTTTTCTGTCAGTTCAAAAAGGGCACATTAAGTACAGTTGCTATGTAAAGGAGCATATGAGCGTAATGAAGCTTATTTTTCGGAGTGATCCCTGTGATTCTCATCTGAAGCGTTCTCCCACTGGACCGAACTTTCAAAGCTACCTGTCATTTTAATGTGCAGCTGTCAGCAATACCTGCGTCTCTCATTTCCAGCAGTCTGACGGGCCTTTAGATACTCTAATAATATGTCGTTCTCATACTTTATTGATTGATGTTTTCCTTTGAGCGTTTCTTGATATAGCCCCTAAAATCACAGTACATCATCAGTGCAGAGTGCCTTAATATGTTAGGCTACTGATAAAAAGTTTCGGTAAAGTTTGTTAAAAGCTTGACTTGAGATGTGAACCTGTGGACATACTGTACAGAGAGCCAGGGCTAACAGAATGTTTTTTTTTGTTTTGTTTGTTTTTTTGCCAAGGAGAGAGCCACATGATGGCAGAGGTGAGACACACTTCTTTCTATGACAGGAAGGAGCACTACAAACGTTCATTCAAACCTGGCTGGAATAGAGATGATCTCAGGTATAATACTTACAGTGACTATGTCACTACAGGCATTTTACCCTTTTAAACCTAATATTATCAAATGTTTTCAAATTTTGAAATAAAAGTTTTTTTATGGTGCTTTAAGAGAAAAAATTCTAGGTGCCATAACTGTCTGGATATGGTAAAAATGAAAATAAAATCTTTGAATATATATATATATATTAGCTTTCATGAAAAGGCACATTTTTTTCATTTAACTTACTATTTTTTTAAATTGTTTTGAAAAGCAGCCCACATAACATAATGTACATTATCACATTGTAACAATGTACATTACAACACTGACGTAGTCTGCAGTCAAAGGTACTTCTGTGTGGTGACAAACCTGACAGCTGTGATAATGATCAAAAGACATTAGTAACCTGTGCAGAAGTAATTGAAACACTGTTTGAAGCCTCAGGCTCTCTCCTTCATACATGGTTTATGCATCCATTAGTGAGCTTGATTTGGTTACAGTAACAGTATCATGAAGGGCTGCTGCACTTTCCTGACTGTGACTGATGAGTCTACGTGATCAAGAGGACTAGCAGGTGCAGACTTCTCTCCTGAGTGTGTAAATCATAACCTCAGATGAACGTCATATTGGTTATAGTACGGTACATTTTGACTCGCCTGAAGTTTTAGCCAGCTGCTCAGTGGTAGATATTATAAACCTGGCTTGAAATAACTAACTAAATAAATAAACAACTCTTCCATCTTGAACCCTTGGTCACATAGTAAATTATGACTTGAAGTGGTTCTGTTCAGCAGAAGCGGTCTGGGGCAACAATAAAATAAATATGACAACAAACATTCTGCACGTCTTATCGAGTTCAACACTGGTCAGCTCTTTGTGCTCTCACTCCCAAAAACAATCCTGCATGACCGACTCCTGGGCTTTGGGGTTTTTCTCATTTTCTCAGAATGAACTTTATGATAATTCACAATCACTGGGCCTCATGGGATGGAGAATATATAAAAAATGTGCTCATTCTAAAATAAACTTTCCTGGTGATTCCCTTCTTAGAGTTTTCACATAGATGTAAATTAGTGACTGGAAAGTAGCTATAAATAAATAAATAAACATGAAAGGATAATGTTACAAAGAATATATGAAAAAAAAAAGCTCAGTCCATCTCATCTGCTTTTCAGTGTTCTTTGAGGTCTGTACATTTACTTATTTGCAAGACACCAATGAGATACTTTTGCTTAAAGGTTAATCTCCTGCTTCTCAGTTTGTCTCCTGCGATAAAGATCTAATCATGCATATCCTATAGAGTTGTTAGACTTTTCAATATAAACTTATAAATTATACATCAAATATTTGTATACATTAACTCTAGTCTCACTAGTCTCATTTGATCTCATTTGGATCTATTTTTTATTTATTCTGTGGACTTGTAGGAGAAACACCTGAGGTGAAGCTGATATGAACTGAAACATAATTATACAACTGACCTTCATTCACAAACTGTAAAAGAGCAACATTTCAGCAATACATTTTTAGGCACCTAAAAGCATTGGTGGTGGAAATTTATGTGTTTGCAAGTATCATCATGACTATACTTATGATGTATTTAGCATTTTATGTGTGTAATATTCTCTCATGGCCGCAGTTAGCGATTGGAGGAGATATTCTAGGCAGTGAGGTTCTGCTCTTCATCAGAATTCCTCAGTAGGTGTTGAGTGAAGAGCAACCAGCCATATCAAACTCATGTACTTATTAATACAGAGGCTGCAGACTGCATGGGAATACATGTGATCAATAGCCAAAACAATGAGCAGGCCTAGATAATGCAGTGTAGGCAAGTCATGCATTAAACTTTTTATTGTGTACCCTTGAAATGAGGCGAATGCTTCAGTGGTGTTATCCAGGATGTTTTTCTCATCTACTATATGTGACTCACATCAGCAGTGGCAGCGGAGGGCAAAGGTTAGGACTCACAGACTGACTCATGTTGTAAATGTCCAGGGCATGCAATATTGACCACATTCACATCCGGGCAATCAGGTAAACCAAGTAGTTTCTATATTTTAAATAGGCAGAAAAATAAATGATAACAGGAGTTTAGCTGAGTAGGAAAAAAATCAACATACATATGTACCATTTGTTTATTAGCACCGTCAGGAGGACAAATGTGTTTTTGGGAGACAACAGGAAAATCTCAAATATCTATGCAAACAAACTTTAAAAGTCCCTGAGGGTTTTTTTGGTGTTTGGTTTTTGCTTGGCCTGGATATGACCATGTTGATTTAGGTGTGGACAAATTATAGCTGTCTCTGGGGTACAGCTGCATGGGAATCAGAGCTGTGACCATTATATGTTATTATACACCATTATAAAAAACTCAAAACCTCACTGTTTTCTTGCATTCAGTCTTACTTTAAGCTGTACTTTAAATAATTATGAAATGAAGTCAAATGAAGAGACTGTTTGGCATTATTACACGGCTCTGGAATGCAATGGTATACTTGAATACTTTCATATCTCTCGTATCACGCAAACTCACTGTTTTCTCTCTCTCTCTGTATTTCTGTCCATTGAGATTTACAAAACAGTCAGCACAGCAACAAGAAAAACACTGCGGCAAATTTACTGTAATATAGCTGAAGGCAAGTTGTGTGTGTCTCAGTTATTGTTTGAATTAGACATGACTTTGTGTTTTGTACATTGTGATGTTTTCTCAGAGGAAACGTTAGAAAAAAATATACAGGTAAGATTCAGTATTTCTTGCCCATTGGCTATTTATTTGGTGAGGAGTTGTGTAATAAGTGGGATAAATGTACATTCAGTCCAATATTTGATATTAATAGAACTTTGATTAAAAATATGCATGTGCTCTTTAACATTTACCCAAACAAACAGGTGGAACAAATATCCTTAATAAGGGCAGGGGAACTGCAGACATCAGCATCCACATTGCGCCCCTGAAGGCAACATTAACTTTTGAGCACATGAGTTTATTGAATTAACCTCCTATTGATGCAGCAACACAAAATCCACTTACTATGAGACTTATGCTCCACACTCTCTGTCTCTGGCCAGTCTGTTTGTGAAAAACTGACCATATGATTGTGTCTTTTTGCAGACAAAATCAAATTCTATATTCTATGTGTTCTTAACGATATACTGTCTTTGGCCTGTTAGAGCTGCCTGTACTTCCTTCTAAAATTCATTTTTGTCCAAATACATAGATTAGAGGAATGGTCTCCAGATATGCTTTGACTGACTGTTTAAGGGAAGAGACGAAAGACCAGCAGCTGAATACGACAACAATGAAGGAGCTAGATTTACCCTTGAGAGTTCAGAGTAAAACAAGCACCAGAGGCCAGAGGTCCCAGAGGCCTCAAAAAATGAGGGAAAGACAAATAGCAGTCACTTTGTAAAAATATATACATATATGTCCCTGCTGCTTTATAAAAGTGGCTAAATGCAGTATCAGTAGGCTATTGACAGTGAGCTTGCTTTAAAGGGGTCATATAATATTGCTAAAAAGAACATTATTTTGTGTATTTGGTGTAATGAAATGTGTTTATGCGGTTTAAGGTTAAAAAAACACATTATTTTCCACATACTGTACATTATTGCTTCTCCTCTATGCCCTGCCTTTCTGAAACGCCTCGATTTTTACAAATCTCATCGGTCTGAAAAGCAAGGTGTGCTGTGATTGGCCAGCTATCCAGTGCGTTATGATTGGCCGAATACCTCAAGCGTGTGACGGAAATGTTACGCCCCTACCATACTGTGATGATGCCCTGTCAGGCCGGAGCGATGATTCAAAAACATGAAAACCCATTACAAACAAGGCATTCGTTGCATCCAATGGGGACATAATTATGGATTATAATGACTTAGTAGTTTCGCTTTCACAACGAAACACAGCGTCACGGCGGCCTAGAGTGAGCGGCGGCCTAGAGTGAGAAGAGGCCGGGGGCTAGAGTGAGGAACAGCCGGAGGGCTAGAGTGA